CTGGAGCTCCACAGGGAGGGGGCAAGACGGAGGGACTGCGGGCTGGAGCTCCACAGGGAGGGGGCAAGACGGAGGGACTGCGGGCTGGAGCTCCACAGGGAGGGGGCAAGACGGAGGGACTGCGGGCTGGAGCTCCACAGGAGGGGGCAAGACGGAGGGACTGCGGGCTGGAGCTCCACAGGGAGGGGGCAAGACGGAGGGACTGTGGGCTGGAGCTCCACAGGGAGGGGGCAAGACGGAGGGACTGCGGGCTGGAGCTCCAGAGGGTGGGTGCCCAGCGGTGGAAGGCGTTGATAACAGGGCGAGTGGGGCAGGGGGATGTGAAGCAGGCCAGAGCCCGCTGAGCGGAGGGAGCGAGCAGGATGGAGGGGGTTAGGAGATCGGAGAGGTCAGGGGGAGCAAGACCATGGTGGGCTTTGAAGGTGAGGACCAGGATCTTGAACTCTTTCTTCTTGTGTGATGGGAAGCCGGTGGAGTCGGACGAGGAGGGGGGTGATAGGGTCACGGAGCCTGGTACAGGAGAGGACACGGGCTGCAGAGTTCTGGATGATCTGCAGCCTATGGAGGGAGGAGTTGGTGAGGCCACAAGCAGGGAGTTTGCACAGTCGAGCCTCGATGTTATGAATGAATGAGGGTTTTGGCGGCCTGCGGTGTGAGACAGTGGTGGAGCCGGGCAATGTTGCGGAGGTGGGGGCAGGCAGAGCGGGTCATGGCGCAGATGTGGGGTAGAAAGCATAGTTGAGGGTCAAACAAGACCTCAAGGTTCCGGACTGGCTTAGCGAGGGGGAGTGTGCACAGTTATGTGGACCCGAAATGTTGACTCACTTTCCTTTCTCCATTTGTTTTCAGATTTCCAGCATTTGCAGTATTTTGCGTTTTGTAAAGCATTAAAGTATTGACAAAGTTTTTACAAACTCTGGATCAGGAGACATCGGTGCTACTAGGTTTTTTTGAAATAGTGCGACATTTTGGGGATGCAAGAATTCACAGTACGATCAGCCAAGGTCATTATTTCCATCACACCAACTTCAACACCACTAAACCCTCAAACAAGTGATCAGAAATTAGATTTAATCTATTCGTGAGATTTATTCTGAAAACCTTTTTTAATGTCTTCCTCGTGACTCTTCACCACTGATGACTCAATACTACACTCAGCTTGAAATCAAGGAAGTGATCAGACTTCCTTCAAAGTCTGATCACTTATCAGCTGGCCCAATAGAAAAGTGCAGAAATATTTGCCGAAAGTTGCGTGGAAAAGTTTTGCAGAAAATGGCAGGGAGTTGATTGGTGCTAATGAAGTATATTTTACTGCCAACCAACATTTTTTCACTTATTGATAGAAACTAAACATGAGGAACTGTTGCAATGTGTTGCAAAAATATATTTGTGATTATTGCAAAAAATATATAAATTGCTTCATTAACACAAACTGGGTGACATTTTTTGGGGGGAACACCAACAAGACTACAACTCTCAGGGCCCAGCACCGCACACAGACCCAGAGAAAGTCACACATACACACACACACAGACACACACACTCACAGACGCAGAGAGATACGTACAGAGAGAGACAAACAGACAGACAGAGACACACACACTCACAGACACAGAGAGAGACACACTCACAGACATAGAGAGACACATTCTCAGAGAGAGATGCACTCTCACAAACAGAGATGCACACACGGAGAGAAAGACACAGATATACTCACACAGACATTTACAAACAGAAAGAAACACACTCACAAACACATATAGAGACATACAACAACAAAATGACATTTGTATAGCGCATTTCACATCAGGAGGATGTCCCAAGATGCTGGAAAGTCAGTGTTTCGGACCTGAGCTGGTGGTCGGTATTGGGAAGCAGGGTGATCAAAAGTATGGTCGAAGAAGTCTTGAGAGCAGTCTTGAAGGAGGCAAAGGAGGGAGCGAGGCAGAGAGACTGCGGGATAGAGTTCCAGAGGGTGGGGACAGAGTGGCTGAAGGTCCGCCTGCCAATGTTGGGATGGGTAAACAACAACAACAAGATTCCATTTATAGTGCGCCTTTCACGTCGGGAGGACGTCCCAAGGCGCTGTACAGTTGGGTCAGGACCCGAGCAGGGGGGAAATGGTCAGGGTAAGGGGAGGGAAGGGAGGGAGCGAGGAGGGGGGAGAGAGTCGAGAGGGGAGCTGAAGGCTGAAGGTCAAAGAGAAAGGACTTGAGACCGGCCTTGAAGGAGGAAAGGGAGGAGGCGGCGAAGGCACTGGGGATGGAGTTCCAGAGCCTCGGGGCTGAGAGGCTGAAGGCCACCGATGGTCGGGCGGTTGGGGCGGGGGATGTGGAGCAGGCCGGAGGTAAGTAGGGGGATAGTAAGTCAGAGAGGTAGGAGGGAGCGAGGCCGTGAATGGCCTTGTAGGTGAGGATGATGATCTTGAAATCGATCCTCTGGGGGATGGGGAGCCAGTGGAGGCAAGCGAGGGTGAGGGCGAGGGTGGGAGTGATGTGGTCCCGAAGCCTGGTGCGGGACAGTACACGAGCTGCAGAGTTCTGAATGACCTGCAGTGTGGAGGGAGGGCCGGGAAGGCCGGCGAGGAGAGAGTTCCCATAGTCCAGCCTTGAGGTGATAAAGGCGTGGACCAGAGTTTCAGCCGCGTGAGGGGTGAGGTAGTGCCGTAGTCTGGCGATATTCCGGAGGTGATGGAAGGCAGTGCCAGTTGTGGCGCGGATATGAGGGAGAAAAGTGGGGGACATGAAGCAGGCCAGAGCCCGCTGAACGGAGGGAGCGGGCAGAATGATAGGGAGTTAGGAGGTCACAGAGGTAGAGGGAAACAAGGCCATGGAGGGCTTTGAAGGTGAGGCCCAGGATCTTGAACTGTATATCCTCTGTGTGATCGGAAGCCAGTGGATCCATCTCAAGACCCTCCTCTTCGACTGTGCTTGTGATGACCCTGCTCCCCCCGCCCTCCCCAATCCCGACTCCCAGTTCGGTCCAAAATACTGACCAGCGCCTGGGTAGATCCTTCCAATGTGAAAGCGCTATACAAATGTAATTTTGTTGTTGTATTTTGAGTTGTTTGTTGTACTAAATACTACATTTACAAATAAAATATATATTTTCAAAAAAAATCTTATCAGTAGACTGATGCCAAACAGCTGAGGAACACAAAATCACAGGTGTTCCTGCCTTTAGGAACAGCAACACCTGCAAAGCTTGATAATGGTGTGTAGGACATTCAATGAGTCACAAGAGTACATCTTCCCAAGGCCATACATTTCAATTCCAAGCTGTGCTGCTCACCAAGAATTCTTGGTACCTGCTGTCCACCCAGCGAGGGTCAAACGTCAAATCTGTACTTCTTGGATGTCAAGTGACCAACCAGTAACTATCATCAGGTGTGTGTGTTGGGAGGGGACGAACTGTTAAGCAGGGTCTCCTCAAGAGCTGAACTCGCTCCAAGGCAACATTCTTGACAAAGGTGATATGTTTGGCACATATGTCAGTAATCAAACATTTTCACACTGTTAACAGCTTGCAGTTTCTCAGCAACCTCAGCAGAGTATATTACAGGGTTTGGTGGTTACTTTGGTTGTGAAAACAGGAATGGGAGCCAGGTAATGAATTCTCAGCCTTGAAATTAGAGAGGAAGTAGAGGAGGCCACTTCACCTCAAGCTCTGGCAACATCAACCTCCATGATTGCATACTACAACTCACCAAGCCAGTTAGGAACCTAGGTGTCTTGTTCGACGCTCAACTGTCTTTTCTCCCCCACATCCAAGCCATGACCTGCTCTGCCTTCCTTCACCTCCGTAACATCGGCCGACTCCGCCACTACCTCACCCCTCAGGCGCTGAAACTCTTGTTCATGCCTTCGTCACCTGCAGGCTCAACTATGCAAAACCCTGCTTGTCGGCCTTCCCAACTCCTCCCTCCACAGGCTGCAGATAGTCCAGAACTCTGCAGCCCGTGTCCTCTCCCGCACCAAACTCCGTGACTCCATCTCCCCCAACTCCCTATCCTTGAGAGGATCCAGTTCAGGATCCTGGCCCTCACATACAAAGCCCTCCATGGCCTCAGCCCACCCTACCTCTGCGACCTCCTAACCTCCTACCAACCCGCCTGTTCCCTCTGCTCAGCCGGCTCTGGCTGCTCCACGTCCCCCGACCCACCTGCCCCACCATTGGTGGGAGAGCCTTCAGCCACTCTGCCCCCAACCTCTGGAATTCCATCCCCCAATCACTCCGCCTCACACCCTCCTCAGCCTCCTTCAAGTCCCGCTTCAAGACCCTCCTCTTCGACCATACATCAGCCACCCCACTTCCCATCCCCTCCCCCCCTGACCCCAGCTCGGGTCTGAAATGCCTTCCAGCTCGTTGGGACGTCCCCCCGACGTGAAAGGCGCTATACAAATGCAATCTTGTTGTTGTTGCTCCTCCATTAGATCTTTTGAACACTCTTTTCTCCACCGTTTTCATCCATTGCTCTCTCCCGCGCAGCCTCGGGGCTATGCAGCCCACATTCTGAGAAACCCTTTGCTGGTTTGGACGCTATAATAAGGCAGCGCAGGGTTTTCCTGAACAGGCGCTCTCCATTACAGAGATGGCGACGAGGAGCTTCAGTTCGGGGCCCTTCATTTACCGGGGCGGCACCTTTCCAAAGATGGCGCCATTGTCTCCATAGCAACGACAGAATAATTCATTACAGCGAACAAAGCAGCCTGACATGGCTCGGGCCCCGGTAACGGGCCCCGGTAACGGGCTCCCGCGGCCTCGGGACACTGTCAAAAACACCTCAATACAAATTAGAATCGAGAGAGTTAACCGTGGCTCCGCCCCTCTACCTGAGCCGCAGCCAATCGCCATGCGGACGTGGGGCAGTCGCAAAAGTTCTAGCCAATCAGAAGCAGGGCGAAGGGCGGGATGTCGGATTTTGACCAATAGAAGGCAGGTAGTGGGGCGGGAGTTACAGCCAATGGTAGGCGGGAGCGGGGGATTGCGCGCGCAGGCCGGGGCGGGCGGCTAAGATGGCGGCGGTGCGCGTGCGGTTGCTATTTGATTACCCGCCGCCCCGGCAGCCCGCGGCCCGCATGTGCTGGCTCTTCCTGCAGCTCGATCAGTGCAGGGTGGTGGCCGACCTCGAGAGCACCATCCGCCACAGGTTCGGCTTCAGCAGCCGCACTCTGCTCCACCTGTACCTGGATGGGTACTTGCTGCCTCCCAGCGAGAGCGTCTACCTTGTGCGCGATAACGATTCCATCAGGTACAGCGCCGCCGCCCCTGTACCCCCCATCACATCAGCCTTTATCAGGCTCCACTGGCTCCCATTACCGAGCAGATCGATTTCAAGATCCTCTCACTTCAGCCCTGGTACCTCCCTACCTCTCCACCCACTGCTTCTGCTTGACCGGCTCCGGCCTCCTGTTTGTCCCTCATCCCCTCCATCGGTGGCCGTGCCTTCAGCCACTGTGCCCCAAAACTCTGGAACTATTTCCCTCAACCTCTCACCACTTTCAAATGCCACCTAAAGAGCTTCCTTTTTGATCGTGCTTTCCCCCGGCTCAGGGTCAGACTCCATCGCTGTCAAGCGCTCCGGGATGCTGCCCTTCGTGGGCTCTTTGCAAGTTGTAGCAAGAGGGCAATCTTGATGGCCATGGACCAAACATTGCCGTCCTTAGCGTGTCACATAAAGAAGCATTAGGAGTTACTTGTCTTTGCCATTTACCCTTTCAATCTGTTCTATTTTAGATTAAAAGCATAAGAAATGCTACTTGAAAAAGACCAAGGTTCATCTAGTTCGCCTTCCACCTTCCTGGCGGTCACTGCACATATGTCCCAAACTCCCTCTGTCTATATCCCATAATGTTATTTCCTGAAAGAAAACTTATCTAATCTGCGTTTGAAATAATCAACACTTCCTGCTTCAACCGTCTCCCTCGGGAGCCACAGGTTCACTATTCACTCACTAAGATAGTGTTTGTGAAGATTTGTTCTGAATTTACCCCTTTCAATCGCAGGCCGTGGCCTCTGGGTTTACTATTCAGGACAAGTTGAAACAGCCCGTCATGATCTATATTGTTTGTCCCCTTTAGAATGTTAAAGACAGTAATCATGTCGCCTCTCAATCTTTTCCAGTGTGAACATGCCCAATTTACTTAGTCGCTCCTCATAGTCCAGTCCCTCCATTCCCGCAATTATTTTGATTGCCCTCCTCTGTATCTTCTCGATTTCTCCAATATCCTTTTTGTACTGCGGCGACCAGAACTGTGCACAGTCTCTAAGTAAAGTGTCATCAATGATTTATACAGTGGCAGAAATACCCCACTATTTCATCTTATTGATCTTTTGATACATCCCAACATCTGGTTTGCTTTACTCACTGCCACAGCACTGTTGGGAGCGTTTCAATCAGGACCCACAGAACCTTTTCATTCTCCATAGATATTATTTTCCTTCTGTTGAAATAATAGTCCCTTCCAGGATTTTTTGCCCCCATATGAAGTACTTTACATTTCTCCATAACATAACATGTAGGAGCAGGAGGAGGCCATTCGGCCCTTCGAGCCTGTCCCGCCATAGCTGATCTTCTAATCTAACTCCAGCTAATAACCTGACCCTGCCTTATCCCAATATCCCTTAATCCCTTTTGCAATAAGAAATCTATCTATCTCAGTCTTGAATATGTTCAAGGACTGAGCGTCAACAGTCGCTCCATACATTCCATACATTCACTGCCCTTTGAGTGAAGAAGTTCTTCCTTAACTCAGTGCGAAAGGGCTGCCTCTGATTTTCAGGTTGTGACCCCTGGTTTTAGTTTCTCGAACCAGGGGAAACAATCTCCCACTATCTACTCTATCATGGCCTTTGATGATCTTATACAACAACAAGATTTAATTTATAGAGCGCCTTTCACGTCGGGAGGACGTCCCAAGGTGCTGGACAGTTGGGTCAGGACCCGAGCAGGGGGGAAATGGTCAGGGTGAGGGGAGGGAAGGGAGGGAGCGAGAGGGGAGCTGAAGGCACGGTCAAAGAGAAAGATCTTGAGACCGGCCTTGAAGGAGGAAAGGGAGGAGGCGGCGAAGGCACTGGGGGATGGAGTTCCAGAGCCTCGGGGCTGAGAGGCTGAAGGCCCGGCCACCGATGGTAGGGCGGTTAGGGCGGGGGATGTGGAGCAGACCGGAGCCTGAGGAACGGAGGGTATGGGCAGGTAGGTAGGGGGATAGTAGGTCGGAGAGGTAGGAGGGAGCGAGGCCGTGAATGGCCTTGTAGGTGAGGATTCTAGGTTTCTATAAGATCCCCTCTAATTCTTCTATAATAGGATCCCCTCTAATTCTTTTATTGAATTTCATCTACCAATGATCTGCCCAATTCAAATGTCCTGTAACCTATCTTATTCAGCTTCGCAATCTACAACAACAAAATTACATTTATAGAGTGCCTTTCACGTCAGGAGGACGTCCCAAAGCGCATCTACCACATTAATTAGCTTCGTGGAATCCTGTAGCTCAGTGGTTAGAGCACTCGCTTTGCAAACGAGAGACCTGAGTTCAATTCCAGGCAGAGGGCGAAACCTTGGGCAAGTTTCCTTACTCCACACAGAGCGTAATAACAATCCCTCCAAATCCAAAAACAATAATTAAATTGGTCATTTTCAATCTACGACTGTTTGTGGGACATTGCTGTGCGCAATTGGCTGCCGCATTCGCCCACAAATATACAGTCAATTCACTTTACAGTGTGTTCTGTGAAGCGCTTTGGGACGTCCTCCCGACGTGAAAGGAGCTATATCAAATGCAAGGATTATTATTATTATATTATTATTATAGTGTCGTCTGCAAACTTAGCCACTGTGATTGCAACTCCTATTTCCAGATCATTTATAAAAATATTAATTAAAAGAGGTCCCAAAATGACCCTTGTGGAAATCCACTGGTAACATTTTCCCAGTCTGATGACATTCCCTGTACCACCACCCTCTGGGTTCTTCCAGTCAACCAGTTACGTATCCATTGTAATACCTCCACCGATTCCCGCTGTCTCTACTTTCAGTGCCAACCTCCCAAGAGGAACTGTATCAAAGGCTTTACTGAAATCCAGATATACAACCCTTATCAAACTCCCTTGTAACACCATCAAAGAAAACCATAAATTAGATTGGCAAGACCTTCCCTTCATGAACCCATATTGGCTATCATTTATGATTTTATTTCTGTATCATTGCACATTATCTCACTGGCTCTCCATCACTCAGCGGATACAGTTCAAGATCCTAGTTCTCGCCTTCAAAGCCCTCCACAGCCTTGCTCCTCCCCATCTCTATGACTTCCAAATGCCCTACCAACCTGTCCACTCCCTTGGCTGGCAGCCCTTCAGCCTCTCTGCCCTACCCCCCTGGAACTGCATCCCACACTCCCTCCGCCTCACCCCTTCCCTTGCCTCCTTCAAGACCCGTCTCAAGACCCTCCTCTTCAACCACGCCTTCCGTCACCCTCCTACCCTCTACTCCAGGATAATCCTGGAGGCGAAGAACAACCCCAGGCTACTGTTTTCCACCACAACCCGACTCCTCCGTCCCCCCCGCCACCCCGCGCTGGTTATCTCCTCCAACCTTCACTGCGAGGAGATGCTGGATTTCCTTGAATCCAAGATCAAGGGAATTCGCTCCGCGGTTACTTCCCCTCCAACATCCACCAACCTCCCACCCCCTCACTCCCACACTCCGACTGCTACCCATCCTCCCCTACTCACTTTTGTACCCGTTTCCCCACCCTCGGTCACAAAACTCATCCTATCCCTAAAACCAACCACCTGCTCCCTTGACCCCATCCCCACTCCACTCCTTATCTCCCAGCTCCACTTTCTTGCCCCACATATCACCGACATCATCAACCTGTCCCTCTCCTCTGGCTCTGTCCCCATTCCCTTAAAAACTGCCACCATCACGCCCACCCTGAAAAAACCCTCCCTTGATGCGTCGCAGCTATCAAGCTACCGGCCCATCTCCAACCTCCCCTTTCTCTCCAAGGTCCTGGAAAGAGTTGTCGCCTCCCAACTGCGCTCTTTCCTTTCCACCCATTCTCTTTTCGAGAATGCCCTGGTCAAGGTCACCAATGATATCCTGACCATCTGTGACCAGGGCTCCCTCTGCCTCCTCGTCCTCCTCGACCTATCGGCAGCATTCGATACGGTCGACCACGCTATCCTACTCCACCGCTTGTCCTTCCACCTCAACCTTCAAGGCACTGTCCTTGAGTGGTTTAGGTCGTACCTTTCTCACCGTCTTCACTTTGTCTCGACGAATGGCTTCTCCTCCACCCCCCGTACTGTCTCATGTGGAGTCCCTCAGGGCTCTGTCCTCGGTCCCCTCCTCTTCACCCTCTATATGCTCCCCCTGTGGTGACATCATCCGCAGACATGGAGTTAACTTCCACATGTATGCGGATGACACCCAACTCTACCTTTCCTCCTCTACTCTCAACTCCACGACCACCGATGTCCTGACAGCTGCCTGTCCGACATCGAGTCCTGGACGAGAGACAACTTTCTTCAGCTCAACGTGCGAAAAACCGAGGCCCTCCTGATTGGTTCGCGTCAGCGCCTCCGCACCTCAGGCGCTGACACCATCAGCATCCAAGGCTGCACTCTCCACCTCGCAAAGCCAGTCAGGAACCTCGGCGTTTTGTTCGACCCTGAGCTGTCCTTTCTCCCTCACATCCGCACCACAACTGGCACCGCCTTCCATCACCTCCGGAACATCGCCAGACTATGGCATTACCTCACCCCTCACGCGGCTGAAACCCTGGTCCACGCCTTTGTCACCTCAAGGCTGGACTATGGGAACTCTCTCCTCGCCGGCCTTCCCGGCCCTCCCTCCACACTGCAGGTCATTCAGAACTCTGCAGCTCGTGTACTGTCCCGCACCAGACACCGCGACCACATCACTCCCACCCTCGCTCGCCTCCACTGCTCCCCATCCCCCAGAGGATTGATTTCAAGATCCTCATCCTCACCTACAAGGCCATTCACGGCCTTGCTCCCTCCTACCTCTCCAACCTACTATCCCCCTACCTACCTGCCCGTACCCTCCGTTCCTCTGGCTCCGGTCTGCTCCACGTCCCCCGCCCCAATCGCCCTACCATTGGTGGTCGGGCCTTCAGCCTCTCAGCCCCGAGGCTCTGGAACTCCATCCCCAGTGCCTTCGCCTTGCTTCCTCCCTCTCCTCCTTCAAGGCCGGTCTCAAAACCTTTCTCTTTGACCAAGCCTTCAGCTCCCCTCTCGACTCTCTTCCCCCTCCTCGCTCCCTCCCATCCCTCCCCTCACCCTGACCATTTCCCCCTCCTCGCTCCCTCCCCTCCCCTCACCCTGACCATTTCCCCCCTCCTCGCTCCCTCCTTCCCTCCCCTCACCCTGACCATTTCCCTCCTGCTCGGGTCATGACCCAACTGTGCAGCGCCTTGGGACGTCCTCCTGACGTGAAAGGCGCTTTATAAGTGGAATCTTGTTGTTGTTGTTGTTGTACCCTCCCCACCCTGCACCCCTCCTGATTCCAACCACCAGCTCACATGCGGATCCCTAACTGTCCAGCACCTTGGAATATTCTCCTGACGTGAAAGGCGCTATGCAAATATAACTTATTATAATAATAATAATCCTTGTATTTGATATAGCGCTTTTCACCTTCTAGAATCCAAACTAATGGTCCATCGGCAGATTTGGCTTCATCATACCAAGACCTACTGCTGCGCTCTTTCCTCCGCCAATTCCTCCTGCTACTGCAAAGTTATATTGGAGGCAAAGGACAACCCCAGGTTTCTCTTTTCCACCACAAAACGTCCACCTTCCCATGCCTCGCCCATCCTCTCCTCAAACTCCAACTGTGAGGAGATGCTGGACTTCCTCGAATCCAAAATCGAGGGGATCCATTCAGCCACCTCTCCACTGTCCACCACCACCCCTACATCACCTCTCCCTCATGACCCAACCCCCACCCATCCCCCCCTATACTCCTTCGACCCCAATCTTTCCCTCCTCCCTCACCACCATTGTTCGCAAACTCAAACCCACCACCTGCTTCCTTGATCCCATCCCCACCTCCCTCCTCATCTCCCAGCTCCACCTTCTGGCCCCTCTCCTGTCTGATGTCATCAACCTCTTCTTGCCCACCGTTTCAGTTCCCACTCCCCTAAAAACAGCCGTCACCAACCCCATCCTTAAAAACTTTCCCTGAACCCATCCCTTCTCTCCAGCTATTGCCCCATCTCTAACTTCCTATTCCTCTCACAAGGTCCTGGAACGAGTCGCCGCTTCCCAGCTCCGCTCCTTTCTTTCTCGCCATACCCTCTTTGAACCCCTCCAGTCCGGCTTTCGCACGGAAACAGCCCTGGTCAAAGTCACTAATTACATTCTGAACATCTACCACCTTGTCCTCCTCGACCTCTCTGTCACCTTCAACGCTGTCGACCACTTCCATTCTCATACACCGCCTCTCCTCTTTAACTGTTTATGGAACACTGCTGTGTGCAATTAGCTGCCAGGTTTCGCCCACAAATATACAGTCAATTCACTTTACAGTATATTCTGTCAAGTGCTTTGAGACTCTAGAAGATGTGATAAGGCACTATATAAAATGCAAGGATTATTATTATTATTAATCTTCACGGACCTGCCCTTGAGTGGATTGAATCCTATCTCTCACCGTCTCCACTTTGTTGCCTCTAACGGTTTCTCCTCCAGCCCGTGCATGGTCACGTCTGGCGTCCCCCAGGGCTCTGACCTTGGCCCTTCCTTTTTAATATCCACATGCTGCCCCTTGGTGACATCATCTGCAAACATGGGGTCAACTTCCATATCTATGCAGATGACACCCAACTTTATCTTTCTGCCTCCACCCTCAGCTCCAGGACCACTGCTGTCCTGACAGCTGCCTGTCGGACATCAAGTCCTGGATGAGGGCAAATTTCCTACAGTTGAATGTGAACAAGACGGAGGCCCTATTGATTGGCTCGCGCCAGCGCCTCAGCACCTCAAGCTCTGGCAGCATCAGCCTCCATGGTTGCACACTACAACTCACCAACTCACCGCCAGTCAGGAACCTGGGGGTCCTGTTCGACCCTCAACTGTCTTCTTCCCCCCATACAAGCCATGACCTGCTCTGCCTTCCTTCACCTCCGTAACATCGTCCGACTCTGCCACTACCTCATCCCTCAGGCCGCTGAAACTCTTGTTCATGCCTTCATCACCTCCGGGCTCGACTATAAAAAACGCTCTACTTGTCGGCCTTCCCAACTCCTCCCTCCACAGGCTGCAGATAATCCAGAACTCTGTAGCCCGTGTCTTCTCCAGCACCAAACTCCGTGACCCCACTCTCGCCCGACTCCATTGGTTCCCTATCATTCAGAGGATCCAGTTCAGGATCCTGGTCCTCACATACAAAGCCCTCAATGGCCTCGCCCCACCCTACCTCTGCGACCTCCTAAACCCCCACCAAACCACCCGCTCCCTCCACTCAGCTGGCTCTGGCTGCTCCACGTCCACTGACCCACCTGCCCCACCATTGGCAGGAGAGCCTTCAGCTGCTCTGCCCACAACCTCTTTAATTCCATCCCCTAATCACTCTGACTCGCCCCCTCTTAGTCTCCTTCAAGTCCCACCTCAAAACCCTCCTCTTCGACCATGCCATCAGTCACTCCCCTTCGCCTCCCCTCTTCCTCCCTGACCCCAGCTTGAGTCTGAAATGCTGTACACTGTCCAGCGCCTTGAGACGTCCTCCCGACATGAAAGGCGTTATACAAATGCAATCTTCTTGTTGTCTCAAAGTGTTTCATACAATATACTGTAAAGTGAATTGACTGTATATTTGTGGGTGAAACGCGGCAGCCAATTGCGCACAGCAGCGTCCCACAAACAGTCGTGGATTGAGTGATCAAATTATTATTGTTTTTTTCTTGAGGGATTATTATCAGGCGTGTGGAGTAAGGTTGCCCAAGGTTTTGTCCCCTGCTGAGAATTGAACCCAAGTCTCTCGCTTCTGAGGCGAGTGCTCTAACCACTGAGCTACCGGCCTCCTTGTTGTTGTTGATGTAAGAATACTTCTGGAATCGCTCTCCTTGTCACATAATAATAATAATCCTTGCATTTGATATAGTGCTTTTCACATCTTTTAGACGTCTCAAAGAGCTTCAGAGAATATGCTGTAAAATGAATTGACTGTATATTTCTGTGCGAAACACGGCAGCTAATTGCACACAGCAGCGTCCCACAAACGGTCAGGGATCGAAAATGACCAAGTTATTATTGTTTTGTTTTGGAGGGATTATTATTAGACGTCTGGAGTAAGGAAACTTGCCCAAGGTTTTGCCCTGCCTGGAATTCATAGAATCATAGAATCGTACAGCACAAAAAGAGGCCATTCGGCCCATCAACTCTGTGCAGCTCTTTGAATAGACCAATGTAATGTCAGTCCCACTCCCCGGCCCTTTCCCCATAACCTGCAAACCCGTCATCAAATACCCGTCCACCGCATTTTTAAAAGTAGTTATCGATCGGCCTCGACCGCCCTCTCAGGCAATGTTCCAGATTCGAACAACTCGCTGCGTGAAAAAATGTCTTCTCACCTCTCCCCTCGGCTTCTTTTAGAGACTATTTTGAATCTGTGACCTCGAGTCACCGACACACCCACCAGTGGGAACAGTTTTTCCCTTTCTAACCTATCAAATCCCCTCATGATTTTGAAGACCTCTATTAGGTCCTCGTAACCTTCTCTGCTCCAATGAGAATAATCCTAGAATTGAACCCAGGTGTCTTGCTTGCAAGGCGAGTGCTCTAACCACTGAGCTACAGGTGTCCACAAATTCACACCACTGCTGGTTCCAAGCAGCCATTTTATACAGAGCACTGGCTATCCCACCACTGATGCCCAAACATGGTATGAGATGCCAGGGGGTGCTCCCCCGAACAGCATGAAAACACATGTAATCGTGATGGGAGAGGGTAGCATTGTAAATGATAGTAAATGATCCTTGAATTTGATACAATGCCGTATCACGTCAAAGTGCTTTGGGGCATCCTGACGATGCGAATGGTGCTATTACCAAATGAATTATTGAATTATTATACAGTTCTCAAAGTGCCTCATATAGTACAGTGAGCGTGGCCAATGTTTATGCACAGTGTGGTCCCACAAGCAGCTGTCAAGGTAATCTGATTTGTTTTTTATCTAGGTATTCTTAGCCAGGGCACCATTCGGATACCACCATAATAATAATAAACCTTGCATTTGATATGATATTTTTGTTACCATGCCTTTAACATCCACCTGAGCAGAATGGTAGGACCTAAGTTTAAGAAAGAATAGCACTTCTGACAATGTAGCATTCCCCAGCATTGCACTGTAGTGTTGGCCTCGCTGAAGTCAAACTCTTGACATGGGCTTGAATCCTCTACCTTCTGACTCTGAGGTGAGAGTGCTACCAACTGACCCAAGCTGATAACGGTGAATATGCAAATATCTATTATCAGAGATAAAGGGATAATATATTCTGTACCGAATGAATATTGAAGTTATTCGCATTAGTAGACTTCTGTAACTGTTTGTGGGACACTACTGTGCGCAAGTGGCTGCTGCATTTTCTACAAAGTACAAAGTCAATGCACTTTACAATATATCTTGTGAAGCACTTTGAGGCGTCTCAATTATGTGATAAGGCGCTTTTTCAAATGCAAGGATTAATATTATGAGACAGTAGAAATATATTTACATTTGCTTTAGCTGATAATATTCCTTTACTGAAATGTCATTTTGCAGAGTTAAACAGGAAGAAGTCATAATGGACAATGGTCTTGTGTATGGTGACTCTCCAGAACATTCCAGGCCGAGGAAGAGGCAGCGGCACCGACTTGTGGGGGAAGAGTGGCCGGGAAATGTGGAACGAGAGAAGAAAAAAAGGAGGAAAGCTACCAAGGTGAATAATGAGCAGCTGCACAACTCTGTCAGTGAACACTCATCAGGTGTTTGGGCAGAGGGTTCGAAGAAGAGGAAGAAGGAAGTAGCGGCTGAGGGTGAAAAGTGTGAGGTTCAAAAGAAACATTGTAAAAAGAAGAGGGATAAAAGCATAAAAGATCAAATCACTGGGGACAAATCAACAAAAAATGGAACTTCTGGAAAACCCTCACCCAAACCCACAGCCACTGCATCCCCATCCAAACCAGCAAAAAGCATGATGGCCACAAAGACAACGCCAGTCCAGAAGAAAGGCAAGGCAGACGTGCCTAACTGTGACAGCTCATCAAACAGTTCGGACAGGAGCCCTGTTCTGCAGCAGAAAAGGAACACGGTCAAGGCTCTGGGAACCAAGGGGTTAGCAAGAAAAGGAGATCCTGGCATTCAGAATGCTGTGAAGATGGCTGCCTCGTCCACTCCCGCCAAAGTGAGCGATGATAGCTCGGCCTCAGACAGCAGTGACTCTGACACTTCTGTTCAGAAGCCTGGAGCTCAGCTGCTGGCAGCCAAACAGAACAAAAATGGGGATGTTATTAAATCCACAAAACTTTCAATCTCTGGTTCTTCTGACTCCAAAGATCCAGAGGTGGTCAAAGTGGGAAAGCTGGAGCGTGCACCCACTGTGCTGGACACGCAGACTGACAAGAGCAGGCACATACCTTTGCCGTCTCCCTCGGCCCCGAGGGCAGATCAGACTGGGAATGGCTATTTTGGACGAGGCAATGGGAGGGGCCGAGGCGGTGGCTTCTCCTGGGCCGGTCCTGGCAGCTCTCAGCAGCGCGGTGTATGCCGGGGGAGGGGCCGCGGAGCTGCTGCCTTTTACTACAACTATGAAGCAAACCAAGATCCTAAACCTGGACACTTAAATGAAGCTATGACCGACAAGAGTGTTGCTAAGGTGAGTGGCTGGAAGCAGCCTTTGGGTGGGTGGTGCTTCCCGTTGTTGACAGGGAGCGGCGCCAGGACAGTGCGGGGAGGAGCTGGGCCTACCTCTCAGGTATTTAACCTCGACGCGGGAGGGAGTGCAGCCAGTGTGCAGCGTGTGGGTGGGGGCGGAGCGGGGGAACTGCTGACGTCATAGTTGCAGTTTTCAGAAGTGTGCGCAAAAAAAAAAAAAAAAATCCTCTGCGCCCCCCCCCCACTCCCCAGGGCTCAGGGCCCCCCATGGTCCTGTTGGGTTGGCTGCCCCAGCCCATGGGATAATGTGTCCATCCACCTGACCGCTCGCTCCCGGTCCCCGCGTGCGCAATATGGCTGCCGCTATGACCCGAGCCCCCTCACCCCCTCCCTCCTCCCTCCTCTCTACCCCCAAACCCTCCCCCCACTGCATCTCTCCCGCTCTCTCCTCCTCTCTCCGTCCCTCTCGCCTTCTATCCCCACTTGACCCTCCCACAACCTCCCTCTGCTCCATCCTGGGAATCCTCCGCCGGCCGCAGCAGCTACACCGACTGCCCCATTCCCCACCACACTCGCCACCCACCCCGGACACAGACCCGGGGAGCCAACCTCTCCTCCCTCATCCCCATTTCCCCCACCCCTGCCTCACAACTGGGAACCTCCTCCCTTCCCACACACCCTTCTGTCAACCGCTCCATCCACATCGGACTACAAAATGTCCGCTCCCTCTGTAACAAGGCCCTGGTCATCAACGATCTCATCCTTGATGAGAACGTTGACATCATGGCCTTAACAGAAACCTGGCTCACCCCAGGCGACACCTTCCCCCTCACGGAGGCCACACCACCCGGCTACACCTCCCACCACATCCCTCGCCCCAACCGCCGTGGCGGTGGTGTTGCCCTTATCTCAAGGACACCACTTGCCCTATCCCCCTACTCCTCTGGCTCTTTCCCCTCTTTTGAGCACCTCACCCTCTCCCACCCCTCCTTCCTCTCACTTAAAATCCTCCTCCTCTACCGGCCCCCTAAAACCTCTCCCACCTTTATCTCTGACATCTCAACACTTCTCACATCTCTCTGCCTCTGCTCTGATCGCCTCATCATCCTGGGCGACTTTAACCTGCACTTCACCCCCTCCTGCTCCATCTCCACAGACTTCTCTTCCCTGCTCTCCTCGCTCAACCTCTCCCTCCACATCAACTCCCCCACTCACAGTCACGGCCACCCACTCGACTTGGTGATCACCCGGGGCCTCAGTGTCTCGGATGTCACCATCACCGACAAGGCCATCTCCGACCACCACTTCATCTCCTTCACCACCTCCACCCCCCTCCCCACCTCCACCAGACCCACCACCATCTTCTACCGCCCTGGAAGAAGTTACCCCCACAATCCCTAACCGCTGCCTTGGAGTCCTCTGAACTCCTCTCCCTCTGGCCTTCAACCCTCACTGACCCCTCTTCTCCTCTCTCCCTCCTCCACAACACCCTCTCCTCCACACTCGACACTCTTGCCCCATCACCTCCCGTACTGTCTCCTACTCTCGCTCCTCCCCCTGGTTCACCACCCACCTCCGCTCACTGAAGAGCCAGGTGCGGGCCGCTGAACGCACCTGGTCAAATCTGGCCTAACGGTCCACCGACAAATCTGGCTGGACCTCCTCAAAATCTACCGCTCCACTCTAGCCTCGGCCAAGTCGTCCTTCTACTCCAGGATAATCCTGGAGGCGAAGGACAACCCCAGGCTACTGTTCTCTACCACATCCCAACTCCTCCGTCCCCCCGCCACCCCGCGCAGGTCATCTCCAACCTTCACTGCGAGGAGATGCTGGATTTCCTTGAATCGAAGATCAAGGGAATTCGCTCCGCGGTCACTTCCCCTCCAACATCCACCCACCACACACCCCTTCCCTCCCACACTCCGACTCCTACCCATCCTCCCCTACACACCTTCGTACCCGTTTCCCCATCCTCTGTCACCAAACTCATCCTATCCCTGAAACCCACCACCTGCTCCCTTGACCCCATCCCCACTCCACTCCTTATCTCCCAGCTCCACCTCCTTGCCCCACATATCACAGACATCGTCAACCTGTCCCTCTCCTCTGGCTCTGTTCCCATTCCCTTAAAAACTGCCACCATCACTCCCACCTTAAAAAACCCTCCCTTGATGCGTCGCAGCTATCAAGCTACCGGCCCATCTCCAACCTCCCCTTCCTGTCCAAGGTCCTGGAACGAGTTGTCGCCTCCCAGCTGCGCTCTTTCCTCTCCAACCATTCACTATTCGAACCCCTTCAGTCGGGTTTCCGTGCTGCCCATAGCACAGAAACTGCCCTGGTCAAGGTCACCAATGACATCCTGACCATCTGTGACCAGGGCTCCCTCTGCCTCCTCGTCCTCCTCGACCTATCGGCAGCATTCGATACGGTCGACCACGCTATCCTCCTCCACCGCTTGTCCTCCCACCTAAACCTTCAAGGCCCTGTCCTTGAGTGGTTTAGGTCGTACCTCTCCCACCGTCTTCACTTTGTTTCCACAAATGGTTTTTCCTCCGGCACCCGCACTGTCTCGTGCGGTGTCCCTCAGGGCTCTGTCCTCGGTCCCCTCCTCTTCACCCTCTATATGCTCCCCCTATGGTGACATCATCCGCAGACATGGGGTTAACTTCCACATGTATGCGGATGACACCCAACTCTACCTTTCCTCCTCTACCCTCAACTCCACGACCCCCGATGTCCTGACAGCTGCCTGTCCGACATCGAGTCCTGGACGAGAGATAACTTTCTTCAGCTCAACGTACGCAAAACTGAGGCCCTCCTGATTGGCTCACGTCAGCGCCTCCGCACCTCAGGCGCTGACAGCATCAGCATCCAAGGCTGCACTCTCCACCTCTCAAAGCCATCAGGAACCTCGGGGTTCTGTTCGACCCTGAGCTGTCCTTTCTCCCTCATATCCGCACCACAACTGGCACCGCCTTCCATCACCTCCGGAATGTCGCCAGACTACGGCACTACCTCACCCCTCACGCGGCTGAAACCCTGGTCCACGCCTTTATCACCTCAAGGCTGGACTATGGGAACTCTCTCCTCGCCGGCCTTCCCGGCACCTCCCTCCACACTGCAGGTCATTCAGAACTCTGCAGCTCGTGTACTGTCCCGCACCAGGCTTCGGGACCACATCACTCCCACCCTCGCCCTCGACCTCACCCTCGCTCGCCTCCACTGGCTCCCCATCCCCCAGAGGATCGAATTCAAGATCCTCACCTACAAGGCCATTCATGGCCTTGCTCCCTCCTACCTCTCCGACCTACTATCCCCCTACCTACCTGCCCGTACCCTCCGTTCCTCTGGCTCTGGTCTGCTCCACATCCCCCGCCCCAACCGCCCTACCATCGGTGGCCGGGCCTTCAGCCTCTCAGCCCCGAGGCTCTGGAACTCCATCCCCCAGTGCCTTCGCCGCTTCCTCCCTTTCCTCCTTCAAGGCTGGTCTCAAGACCTTTCTCTTTGACCGTGCCTTCAGCTCCCCTCTCGACTCTCTACCCCCTCCTCGCTCCCTCCCTTCCCTCCCCTCACCCTGACCATTTCCCCCCTGCTCGGGTCCTGACCTAACTGTACAGCGCCTTGGGACGTCCTCCCGACGTGAAAGGCACTCAATAAATGGAATCTTGTTGTTGTTGTTCCTGTTGAATATTACTGCAACATTTAGGATTTTACAATGTGGATCTCATTACCACACGTGGCTGTTGAAGCCAATGGCAAGCAGCATTTACATGGAAACTGATGAACACTTGACTTGAAGATTGAATATATGAAAGGGGAATGAACAGATGAATGGTATTAGAGCAGGTAGCTGCAGTGGCGGAGCAAGTACCAATGTAGACACGATGAGGAGAAGGGATGGGATTGGAGTACAGCTCCTGTGGGAGAGTGAGCATGGTAAAGGTACCCCGTGCCAACTGGCCTACGTTGTAAACTTGACTTGATGCTTTGAAGTGTACAGTCACTTTACATCGGATTAACTGTGAGGAGATATGTAGAATTGGGAGTATCTATGTAATTTTCAAGCGAGTTACTTTATTTAATAAAAGGAGAGGAGCAGCAAAATGTACACGAACTCCAAGCCTTAATTCTCTGTCCATGTGTTAGTGTGGAATCCTGTAGCTCAGTGGTTATAGCATTCACTTCACAAGCGAAAGGACCTGGGTTTCATTCCCAGGGAGGGTGAAACCTTAGGCAAGTTTCCTTACTCCACACGCCTCTGTTTACCTAGCAATAAGTAGGAACCTGGTTGTTAGTTGATTGGTGGATCACTTTTCATCAGTGGTAATAAATCCTTCAAAAAAAAAAATGGTTACTCAATCCACGACTGTTTGTGGGACACTGCTATGCGTAATCGGCTGCTGCGTTTCCCCCATAAAATATACAGTATATCCTGTGAAGCGCTTTGAGACGTCTTGAAGATGTGATAAGGCGCTATATCAAATGCAAGGATTATTATGATTATTAGTGAAAGTCAGGAGATGAATTCTGATGAAATTTTTTAATGAAATAGGTCAGGGGGTTGTGGGTTCAAGCCCTGCACCAGAACGTTAGTTCCTAACCCAGGCTGACATTTCATTACTACAATACTAAAGAAGTGCTGTGTTGTTGGAAATGCTATCGTTTGGCTGAGATTTTAAACCAAGGCCTTATTTGAACATTGCGCTATTTCCAAGAAGAGAAGGGAGCTTCTCCTTGTGTCTTGACCAATATGTGTCCTTCATCCAAATTTTATGAAAACTTTGATTAATCGATCATTCGTCTGACTACTGTGATTAGTCAAAGTACTAAACATCAAAGTGACTCACTGTGTGAAACACTTTGAGATGTTGACAAATGATGAGGCATTGGATCAGATTTGAGCGTCATTATATTTCTGTAGTTGTTACCTGCCGCTGTTCGGGTGCTTTTGTGCACAATTGAGCTGGGTGTGCTTCCAGTCTTCAGTGCCGACAACTCTGTTAGACAAAAGAGACAGAAACCTTTCAGTAAAGAGAGAGTAGAAAGCTAATTTGGTGAAGTAGCATTTTAAAGGCTGGCAGTTGCTGAGTGCTGATATTATCTGCTGTTTCACCAGTCTCTAGGCTTTCGCTGGGAGTTTCCTATCATGCAACGACTGGTTAAAAAGTGTTCCAGTAGCCGGGGCCCTGCGTCCCCGTAGCCGGGACTCGGTGTTTGATGAGAAGCTGTGGTTCTTGGTGACTTCACGCTGTTGTGTTCGTGTTTTTCCCTTTAAACAGAATTGTCCAGAGGTTCCAAAGCGAGACTACAGCAGCCTGCCTCTGCTCGCAGCAGCTCCTCAAGTGGGAGATAGAATCGCCTTTAAGGTAGTTTGTTCGCGCAGTGACTCACCGCCTGGCCTTCACTTCATTATAGACCTTGGCTCCTTGTCTCCAATAACTGTACCAAAGGCTATTATTATCTGTGTGTTGGAACAGGAGGGCAGTCAGCACATCAGCCTCACTGCCAATGATAATCCCATTCTTCCTGCTTTATTCAATTTTTCCATACCGCCTCACTTTCCAGCTGCTCTACCAGTCAATGTTCCTACTTTCTCTACCATTTCCCTCCTCCAATCATCTTCCATCTCTGGCCTCTGTGGCATTTGCAACCCCCTTAGTTGTGGAGAACAGGCCACGATGTAATGCCTTTGTTTTTGATTTTCTCTCAAGATGCTGGAGCTTACAGAGAATTACACTCCAGAAGTATCAGAATACAAGGTAATTTTGAAAATGTATTTCATGGAGGTGAGGAATGCAGCACAGGGGGATAAGAGACTTGCTAACTCACTGGTCTTGGACGTCCTCCCGACTTGAAAGGAGCTATACAAATGTAATGTTGTTGTTGCTCTGGGGTGAGTTGGATGATGAGTGGTGATTGTAGAGGGGAGAGAGAATCACTTAACCTTTGGGGTAGGATAGGATAGTTGTATGCGTACATGTGGACGTGTGCTGTTACTGGGGTGGTAGCTGGTGCAGAATGCTGGTAGTACTGAGTTAATGATGGTCAGAGTGTATCAGATGGAACGGAAATGGGCTCTTTGGCTCCTGGGTCTGAATCCTCTTAAACTCTTGACTTAAAGGAAGGAAGAATCATGAGCTACAACTCGGCGATACGGCAGGTGGAGCTGGAGGTTGTTCACACACCCAAAGGTGAGGATGTGGCGGGTGAGGGTAGGGCTGTGGCTCTAGAGTGCGGTGAAGATATACATTGTTTGAGATACTAAGATACAATCATTGAATATTACAGCACAGAAGGAAGCCATTTGGCCCATCATGCCTGTGCCGGCACTTTGGAAGAGCTACCTCCCGCTCTTTCCCCATATCCTTGCAAATTTTTCCTTTTCAAGTACCTATCCAATTTCCTTTAGAAAGTTGTTATTGAATCTGTTTCCACCACCCTTTCAGGCAGTGCATTCCAGACTGTAACAACTCTCTGTAAAAAGATTTCTCCTCTGGTTCTTTTGCCAATTATCTTGAATCTATGTCACTGGTTACTGACCCATTGGTCAGTGGAAACAGTTTTTCCCTATCTATTCTATCAAAAACCCTCATAATTTTGAACATGTTTAATAAATATCCCCTTAACCTCCTCTGCTCTAAGGAGAACAATCTCAGCTTCTCTAGTCTCTCCACATAACTAAAGTCCCTCATCCCTGGTACCATTCTGGTAAATCTCCTCTGCACCCTTTCCAAGGTATTGATATCCTTCCTAAAGTGTGGGGCCCAGAATTGGACACAATGCTCCAGCTGAGGCCTAACCAGTGACTTATAATAATAATAATAATAATAATAATAATAATAATAATCCTTGCATTTGATATAGTGCTTTTCACGTCGGGAGGATGTCCCAAAGCGCTTCACAGAACACACTGTAAAATGAATTGAGTGTATATTTGTGGGCGAACGCGGCAGCCAATTGCGCACAGTAATGTCCCACAAACAGTTGTGGGTTGAAAATGACCAATTTATTATTGTTTTTGGTTTTGGAGGGATTATTATTAGGCTCCGTGTGGAGTAAGGAAACTTGCCCAAGGTTTCGCCCTCTGCCTGGAATTGAACTCAGGTCTCTCACTTGCAAAGCGAGTGCTCTAACCACTGAGCTACAGGACTCCAGAACTTCTTTGCTTTTGTACTCCATGCCTCTACTTATAAAGCCAAGGATCCCATAGGCTTTTTAACAGGTTTGTCAACCTGTCCTGCCACCTTCAAAGACCTGTGTGTGTGACCTCCCATCCCCCAGGTCTTACTGCTCCTGAACCGCCTTTAAAACTACCATTTAGTGTACAAATGCCTCTCCCCATTCCTCCCAAAATGCATCACCTTACACTTCTCTGCATTAAACTTCATCTGCCATGTATGTATCTGCCCATTTCACGAGTTTGTCTATGTCCTGCTCTCTGCTACCATCCTCCTCACTGTGTACTACGTTCCCAAGTTTTGTGTCATCTGCAAACTTCAAAATGTTGCTCTTTAAACCCAAGTCATTTATGTATATCAGAAAGAGCAGTGGACCTAATATTGACGCCTGGGGACAGCACTGTATATTTCCTTCCAGTCTGAAAAACATCCATTCACCACTACCATCCGCTTTCTGTCTCCCAAGATGAAAATAGATCTGGTTCCACTCCTGTTAGTCAGTGCTGACAGGCGAGTAGAACCAGATCTTTCTTGACAGTGTTTGTCTTTACTCTGACTCTCATGCTCCTGCTCACCTCAGCTCACATTAGCCCATTACTGTGTGAAGCTGTGAAGTGAGCGACGTGGTCACAGAGACCCAGCTGCTGTCTATTGCTCCCTGATTTACAGCCCATCCAACGGCTTTGATTGTAACTCTCTTCTGCAGGTTTCAAAGAGCCGGGAAAGTTTGACCTTGTTTATGAGAATGAGGCAGGTGAGGAGGTGGTGGAATACGCAGTGAGCAGGGACTCGCGGGTATGTGCTGCTCTGTCATCGCTGGTTGTGCCGTGTGGCTCCTTTAAGGATCTCAGATTCCTTGTTCATTAACATTAACAGTTCGACCCCAGGGTCCAAACCCAACATCTTGTCTCATTTTGTGTTTCCTGTCCTGCAGATAGCGGAAAACTGGGACTCGCTGATCGAACCTCGGCTGATAGTAGAGTGTGCTGTCCGTGTGCCGGTGACATAGATCAGTACTTGCTTCCTTGAGGCCCCTCCAGCGATGGGTTTCTGGCTCCGCGTGTGTCCGAGAGGGAAATTGTATACATTGTTCAGTTTTTTTTATGTGATTTGATAGGAGAGGGAAAGGCTGTGAATTCCTTAATAAATAATAAATTCCAGACTCATATTCCTAGAATTCCATGTTATTCGCTAGTTTGCATTGTCCTCTGGCCACGATCTTTTTGCCAAGTGATTGGTGTTTCTTCCACAGGAAGATATCTGTACCCTGGCTGGTGTCTCTCAGCCCCTGTCTTAAGGGAGGGGATATCTGTACCCTGCTGGTGTTTGAGCTAAGGTTTCTATTGCGGAGCTGATAACGAGTGAGACTCACTAATAGGTTTACATTTCCTCCATGATTTGGTGTGATCTTCTACAAGATCAATGAATGGTTCCAGCTATTTCTACTGAATCGTCGCTTCAGAGCACTGACTATTGTCCCTTGTTTCTGTGTGCAGTGTTTGCCTCGCAGATCAGTCTGAGTTCAGAGGAAGTTGTGATCAATGTAAATTCACACACACTGTGCCCTGGAGACTCAGGTTAAAGAACATTCCTCGTGAAATTTAGGAGTTTTGCGATGTCGCTGACCTTTACTGTGCTCTAATCCTGACCTGGGAGTGTGGACGGACACACACTGTGCCCTGGAGGCTCAGCTTAAAGTATGTTCCTAGTGGAATTTAGATGGACTTTTGCGATGTGGCTGACCTTTATTGTGTCTCTAATCCTGACCTGGTAGCGGCTTTAGGTGGGCTGGGCTGTGAGATGATGTGAGATGACCTGAGGCTTACCCTCTGTGTAACATATACAGTAGCATTAACTCCTGCAATTCATAGAATTATACAGGACAGGAGGACACCTTTCAGTCCATCGTGTCTGTTCCGGCTCTTTGAAAAGAGCTATCCAAGTAAATCCCACTCCCCTGTTCTCTCCCCATAGCCCTGCGAACTTGTGCTCCCCAAATAATTATCTACTTCTCTATTAAAAGTTATCATATCAGCTTCCACCAGCCTTTCAGGCAATGCATTCCAGATCCCAACAACTCGCTGTGTGAAAATATTTCTCCTCACCTCCTCACTGTTTCTTTTAACAACTACTTTAAATCGGTGTCCTCAGGTTACCGACCCTCCCGCCAGTGGGAATAGTTTCTCCTGTTCACCCTAACGAATCCCCTCAATTTTGAAAACTTCTATTAAGTCTCCTCTTAACCTTCTCTGCTCCAAGGAGAATAATCCGAGCTTCTCTACCTCTCCTGATCACTGAAGGCCCTCATTCCTGGTACCATCCTGGTCAATCTCCATTGCACCCTCTCCAATGCCTTGATATCCTTCATAAAGTGTGGGGCCCAGAACTGAACACAGTCTCTCGCTGAGGCCTAACCTGTGTTTTATATAAAGGTTCATCATAACCTCCTGACTTGTGTATTCTATGCCCTATTTATAAAGCCTAGTGTCCCGGATGCTTTTTTAACAGCTCTATCTGCCTGTCCGGCCACCTTCAAACATTTACTATATGACCCCCAGGTCTCTCTGTCCCTTCACCCCCTGTAAGATTGTCCCATCACCGTATATTGCCTCTCCTCATTCTTCCTCTCAAAATGCATCACTGCATTTCCCCACATTAAACTTCATCTGCCGCGTGTCGGCCCACGTTACCAGTCTGTCTGTGTCCTCTTACAGTCTGTTACTGTCCTCCTCACTGTTTACTACTTTTCGTAGCTTAGTATCATCTGCACACTTGGAAATTGTCCTCCCTATACCCAAGTCCAGGTCATTTATATAGATCACAAACAGCAGTGGTCCCAGTACTGATCCCTGGGGACACCACTGCACTTCCCTCCAGTCAGACCGTTCGCCACCCCTCTCTGCTTTCTGTCTCCCAGACAGTTCTGTATCGGCTGCCACTGTCCCTTTAATACCGTGGACTTCTATTTTGCAACAAGTCTGTGTTACTTGTGTGTTGCTCTCCCTGTGAAAGAGACATCAGTCACTTGGCAGAAAGATCGTGGTCAAAGGACAATGGGAATAATTATGTGTGTTTGTTCAGTAGTGAAGGAAAAGCTTTTAATCTAATTACAGGTTAGAAACACGAATGAACAACCTTTGGATCCTGATTAGTCCTGAACTCTAGTGTCTGGTCATTTTATTGTGACGTTTGTGCAAATCAAAGTTAGGAGTGGAACACTGCATGTAACTGTTGTGCACTCACTGCTCATAGGCAGGACAAAGCCTCCTGTTGCACGAGTCGGATATTTTCTGTGACAGCTCAGTGCAGATCAGTGTGTTGAGAATGATGACCACGAACTCGACGCTTTCTCAGAGCTGAGGTGGTTGCAGAATAGGCTGGAATTGCATGTGTTTGTTCAGCGTAGCCTGTACGATACGCAGGGTTCTGCACAGCCTGGCAAGGTCTCCACATAGCAGGCCAAGATGAGAGAGGAAATGGGCGCTCTGGGTGAGGATGGCAGTGTGAGAGGCCAGCTGCGTGGGCGAGGCTGTCAGTGAGAGAGGGAGAGGCTGGCGCCGCGGGCGAGGCTGGCGCCGCGGGCGAGGCTGGCGGTGCGGGCGAGGCTGGTGGTGTGAGGCTGGTAGTGTGGGCGAGGCTGCTGGTGTGGGCGAGGCTGGTGGTGTGGGCGAGGCTGGTGTCAGGCTGGCAGTGTGGGTGAGGCTGGCAGTGTGAGGCTGGTGGTGCGAGGCTGGCAGTGTGAGGCTGGTGGTGCGGGCGAGGCTGGAGGTGTAAGGCTGGCAGTGTGGGCGAGGCTGCTGGTGTGGGCAAGGCTGCTGGTGTGGGCGAGGCTGGTGTGAGGCTGGCAGTGTGGGTGAGGCTGGCAGTGTGAGGCTGGTGGTGCGGGCGAGGCTGGAGGTGTGAGGCTGGCAGTGTGGGCGAGGCTGCTGGTGTGGGCGAGGCTGCTGGTGTGGGCGAGGCTGCTGGTGTGGGCGAGGCTGGTGGTGTGGGCGAGGCTGGTGGTGTGGGCGAGGCTGGTGTGTGGCAGGCTGGTGTGAGCTGCAGTGTGGTGAGGCTGGCAGTGTGAGGCTGGTGGTGCGGGCGAGGCTGGCGGTGTGAGGCTGGCAGTGTGAGGCTGGTGGTGCGGGCGAGGCTGGAGGTGTGAGGCTGGCAGTGCGGGCGAGGCTGGCGGTGTGAGGCTGGCGGTGCGGGCGAGGCTGGCGGTGTGAGGCTAGCAGTGTGGGCGAGGCTGGCGGTGTGAGGCTAGCAGTGTGGGCAAGGCTGGCGGTGTGAGGCTAGCAGTGTGGGTGAGGCTGGCGGTGTGAAGCTGGCAGTGTGGGCAAGGCTGGCGGTGTGAGGCTGGCAGTGTGGGCGAGGCTGGCGGTGTGAGGCTGGCAGTGTGGGCGAGGCTGGCGGTGTGGGCGAGGCTGGCGGTGTGGGCGAGGCTGGCGGTGTGGAGGCTGGCAGTGTGGGCGAGGCTGGCGGTGTGAGGCTGGCAGTGTGGGCGAGGCTGGCGGTGTGAGGCTGGCAGTGTGGGCGAGGCTGGCAGTGTGGGCGAGGCTGGCAGTGTGGGCGAGGCTGGCAGTGTGAGAGAGGCTGGCAGTGTGGGTGAGGCTGGCGGTGTGAGGCTGACAGTGTGGGCGAGGCTGGCAGTGTGGACGAGGCCGGCGGTGTGAGGCTGACAGTGTGGGCGAGGCCGGCGGTGTGAGGCTGACAGTGTGGGCGAGGCTGGCGGTGTGAGCGAGGCTGGCGGTGTGGGTGAGGCTGGCGGTGTGGGTGAGGCTGGCGGTGTGGGTGAGGCTGGCGGTGTGGGTGAGGCTGGCGGTGTGGGTGAGGCTGGCGGTGTGGGTGAGGCTGGCGGTGTGGGTGAGGCTGGCGGTGTGGGTGAGGCTGGCGGTGTGGGTGAGGCTGGCGGTGTGGGTGAGGCTGGCAGTGTGAGGCTGGCAGTGTGAGGCTGGCAGTGTGGGCAAGGCTGGCAGTGTGAGGCTGGCAGTGTGGGCGAGGCTGGCAGTGTGGGCGAGGCTGGTGGCGTGAGGCTGGCAGTGTGGGCGAGGCTGGCGGCGTGAGGCTGGCCGTGTGGGCGAGGCTGGCGGTGTGAGGCTGGCAGTGTGGGCGAGGCTGGCGGTGTGGGCGAGGCTGGCGGTGTGGGCGAGGCTGGCGGTGTGGGCGAGGCTGGCGGTGTGGGCGAGGCTGGCGGTGTGAGAGAGGCTGGCAGTGTGGGTGAGGCTGGCGGTGTGAGGCTGACAATGTGGGCGAGGCTGGCAGTGTGGACGAGGCCGGCGGTGTGAGGCTGACAGTGTGGGCGAGGCTGGCGGTGTGAGCGAGGCTGGCGGTGTGAGGCTGGCGGTGTGAGGCTGGCGGTGTGGGTGAGGCTGGCGGTGTGGGTGAGGCTGGCGGTGTGGGTGAGGCTGGCGGTGTGGGTGAGGCTGGCGGTGTGGGTGAGGCTGGCGGTGTGGGTGAGGCTGGCGGTGTGGGTGAGGCTGGCGGTGTGGGTGAGGCTGGCGGTGTGAGGCTGGCAGTGTGGGCAAGGCTGTCAGTGTGAGGCTGGCAGTGTGGGCGAGGCTGGCAGTGTGGGCGAGGCTGGCAGTGTGGGCGAGGCTGGCAGTGTGGGCGAGGCTGGCGGCGTGAGGCTGGCGGTGTGGGCGAGGCTGGCGGTGTGGGCGAGGCTGGCGGTGTGGGCGAGGCTGGCGGTGTGGGCGAGGCTGGCGGTGTGGGCGAGGCTGGCGGTGTGGGCGAGGCTGGCGGTGTGGGCGAGGCTGGCGGTGTGGGCGAGGCTGGCGGTGTGGGCGAGGCTGGCGGTGTGGGCTAGGCTGGCGGTGCGAGGCTGGCACTGTGGGCGAGGCTGATGGTGTGAAGCTGGCAGTGTGAGGCTGGCAGTGTGGGCGAGGCTGGTGGTGTGAGGCTGGCGGTGTGAGGCTGGCAATGTGGGCGAGGCTGGCAGTGTGGAAGAGTCTGGCGGTGTGAGCCTGGCAGTGTGGGTGAGGCTGGCGCTGGGAGGCTGGCAGTGTGGGCAAGGTTGGCGTTGTGAGGCTGGCAGTGTGGGCGAGGCTGGCGGGGTGGGCGAGGCTGGCGGGGTGGGCGAGGCAGGCGGGGTGGGCGAGGCAGGCGGGTGGGCGAGGCAGGCGGTGTGGGCGAGGCAGGCGGGTGGGCGAGCTGGCGGGTGGGCGAGGCTGGCGGGTGGGCGAGGCTGGCGGGGTGGGCGAGGCTGGCGGGGTGGGCGAGGCTGGCGGGGTGGGCGAGGCTGGCGGGGTGGGCGAGGCTGGCGGGGTGGGCGAGGCTGGCGGTGGGCGACGCTGGCGGGGTGGGCGAGGCTGGCGGGGTGGGCGAGGCTGGCGGGGTGGGCGAGGCTGATGGTGTGAAGCTGGCGGTGTGAGCCTGGCAGTGTGGGCGAGGCTGGTGGTGTGAGGCTGGCGGTGTGAGCCTGGCAGTGTGGGCGAGGCTGGCGGGGTGGGCGAGGCTGGCGGGGTGGGCGAGGCTGGCGGGGTGGGCGAGGCTGATGGTGTGAAGCTGGCGGTGTGAGCCTGGCAGTGTGGGCGAGGCTGGTGGTGTGAGGCTGGCGGTGTGAGCCTGGCAGTGTGGGCGAGGCAGGCGGGGTGGGCGAGGCTGGCGGGGTGGGCGAGGCTGATGGTGTGAAGCTGGCGGTGTGAGCCTGGCAGTGTGGGCGAGGCTGTGGTGTGAGGCTGGCGGTGTGAGCCTGGCAGTGGGTGGGCGAGGCTGGCAGGGTGGGCGAGGCAGGCGGGGTGGGCGAGGCAGGCGGGGTGGGCGAGGCTGGCAGTGTGGGCGAGGCGGGCGGGGGTGGGCGAGGCTGGCGGGGTGGGCGAGGCTGGCGGTGTGTGGGCGAGGCTGGCGGTGGGTGGGCGAGGCTGGCAGTGTGGGCGAGGCTGGCGGGGTGGGCGAGGCTGGCAGTGTGGGCGAGGCTGGCAGTGTGGGCGAGGCTGGCAGTGGTGGGCGAGGCTGGCAGTGGGTGGGCGAGGCTGGCAGTGTGGGCGAGGCTGGCAGTGGGTGGGCGAGGCTGGTGGTATGAGGCTGGCGGTGTGAGGCTGGCGGTGTGAGCCTGGCAGTGTGGGCGAGGCTGGCAGGGTGGGCGAGGCTGGCAGGGTGGGCGAGGCTGGCAGTGGGTGGGCGAGGCGGGCGGGGTGGGCGAGGCTGGCAGTGTGGGCGAGGCTGGCGGGGTGGGCGAGGCTGGCGGGGTGGGCGAGGCTGGCAGTGTGGGCGAGGCGGGCGGGGGTGGGCGAGGCGGGCGGGGGGTGGGCGAGGCTGGCAGTGTGGGCGAGGCTGGCAGTGTGGGCGAGGCTGGCGGGGTGGGCGAGGCTGGCGGGGTGGGCGAGGCTGTCAGTGTGGGCGAGGCTGGCAGTGGGTGGGCGAGGCTGGCAGTGGGTGGGCGAGGCTGGCAGTGGGTGGGCGAGGCTGGCAGTGTGGGCGAGGCTGGCAGTGGTGGGCGAGGCTGGTGGTGTGAGGCTGGCAGTGTGGGCGAGGCTGGCAGTGTGGGCGAGGCTGGCAGTGTGGGCGAGGCTGGCAGTGGGTGGGCGAGGCTGGCAGTGTGGGCGAGGCTGGCAGTGTGGGCGAGGCTGGCAGTGTGGGCGAGGCTGGCAGTGGGTGGGCGAGGCTGCGTGTGGGCGAGGCGGGCAGTGTGGGCGAGGCTGGCGGGGTGGGCGAGGCTGGCAGTGTGGGCGAGGCTGGCAGTGTGGGCGAGGCTGGCAGTGTGGGCGAGGCTGGCAGTGGGTGGGCGAGGCTGGCAGTGTGGGCGAGGCTGGCAGTGTGGGCGAGGCTGGCGGGGTGGGCGAGGCTGGCGGGGTGGGCGAGGCTGGCGGGTGGCGAGGCTGGCGGGGTGGGCGAGGCTGGCAGTGTGGGCGAGGCTGGCGGGGTGGGCGAGGCTGGCGGGTGGGCGAGGCTGGCAGTGTGGGCGAGGCTGGCAGTGTGGGCGAGGCTGGCAGTGTGGGCGAGGCTGGCGGGGTGGCGAGGCTGGCGGGGTGGGCGAGGCTGGCAGTGTGGGCGAGGCTGGCGGGGTGGGCGAGGCTGGCGGGGTGGGCGAGGCTGGCAGTGTGGGCGAGGCTGGCAGTGTGGGCG